CGAATGTAATACCGCGAATGCATTATCGCGAATGCATCATAGCGAATGTATTATAGCGAATATATTAGCGCAAATGCATTATAGCGAATGCATTACCGCGAAAACATTATCGCGAATGCATTACAGCTAATGTAATACCGCGAATGCATTATCGCGAATGCATCATAGCGAATGTATTATAGCGAATATATTAGCGCGAATGCATTATAGCGAATGCATTACCGCGAAAACATTATAGCGAATGCATTACAGCGAATGTATTATCGCGAATGTATCATAGCGAATGTATTAGAGCGAATACATTACAGCGAATGCATTAGCGAATGCAATATCGCGAATGCATTACAACTAACATTATCACAATGCAATCAAAATTATATTTAACCCATTTATTAAGTTCCAAAAAACCAGAGAACCAGCTTAATTGTCTATATTTATTTAAAGTAGCGTTTTAAAATTATTTACCTCTAAAACACGTCACTTGTTATTTATGAAATTCGTATTTTATTAAAAAATATGTGGAATTCGGTATACTCAATTTTTTTAACGATTAGATTAAGTCGTTTTTTACAAAAGACCCTATTAATAAATATTTTATATTTTAAGATTGATTCTAGTAAAAGTTAATTTTTGCCCCAACAAGCCCCAAACCCCAGGCTTGTAGATTATATTGGTTTATTAAGTCTCCTATAGGATAATTGTTATTATCAATAATACACCATTTGTATATAAATAATTCATAAAAAATTTCAAAATGTGATATTTTATTTTAAAAAATGTTTAAGTTTTAATGAATTTTTTAATTTTTTTTCTAATTCTTTTGATTATCAACCACCAGAAAAGGTGAAAGTTAAAGGGAAAAAAATAGAATTTAAAGCTATAATAGCCAATGAATACTTATTATATCATATTTTTAAGCATAATATAATTAATTCGACCTAATTCTACTAGCCCATAGTTACTGATATGATTAACCATTTCCAGCGCTAAAAAAATATGTTGATAATTTTTAAATTTTTTTAAATAAGATTAGATGAAGGGGAACATTGGATTGAGACCTCTATCTTATTAAATCTTTTGTAATCGTCAAAATTATTAATTTTATAGCTTTAAAACATAAAATCTTATCTTTTCTAAATTTAAACATTGTTAAATTTAAAAATAATAAATGCCAACTCCTGTTTCAAATATAAATCTTAAAATGATAAAAAATATATTTAATTATATATTTTGGTGGTTTCAATAGAGATGATATGTGAATTTAGTTCAAATTTAATATTTTGTAAGTTATTTTCAAATCATATTATTCTGCCTGAAAGGGAATGCCTACAATAAATATTTTTAAACATAATGATTATGAGACTTTCTGAAATGGGAAAAGAAGATTTTTTAATTTCATATTCTGTCTATTTAATTATTTTTAAATCTCACTGTGCAAATTGGTTTATTATTCATGATACGGTTTAAAAAATTCAATTATAAATTGTCAAGCTTATGATGATATTGACAAAAACAACTACTAGCCCTATTCCTACTATTGGAAGAAAGTTGATAATGAGATCAAAAATTTTGATTATTTACCGGGTGGCTAAAAAACGTCGCGTTTTGAAATCTTATTAACTCCGAAACGTGTCATTCGTTTTTTATGAAATCTCCTGTCTTAATATTCTCAAAATATATAATTTAAAGTGGTTTTTAGAAAATAAGATAAAAAAAATGTAGTCGTACATATATATTTTTAAAGATTTCCTTTAATTCATAAACTATAACATTAAAACAAAATATTTTAAATTTTATAAAGTGGCTTTTAGAAAATTAAGATAAAAAAAATGTAGTCGGACATAAATATTTTTAAAGATTTCTTCAAATTCATAAACTATAACATAAAATATTTTGGCATTAAACAAATCTCATTATTAAATACCACTAACAATATAAACATATGATAATTTTCTAAATTATGTATTTTATCAAAGATCTGATAATGATAAAATTTTGACATGAGAATAAAAATTGGAATCAAGTTTAATTCCTGAATTCTCTAGGAAAAAGTGGAATATTAATCCAGTTCACCAAGCTAACCCCTTGGTTATCATATAACTCATCAATCTCCTTTTGTTTTTCAACTAAGATTTTATCAAGCAAAACCATAGATTCGTAATACGAATTCCACTAGAATTTACCAGATACCTACCCAATTTCTTGATGTTACCTGCCATATTGGTAGACATTTTTTGTTTATTCCACAAAGTAAGACACTTTTGGAAAGAACTTTGTGATATTATTTTATGTTATCAGCTAAAGCTAAAAAATTTCTGATGCCCATAATTAGGGGAGACCGGTGTTGTAATGAACCCAGGGTTATAGTGAGAGTGGCTTTATTTTCTAGAGTATTAAACTCTAAGAGATAATTTTTTACCAAAACTATTTACTTATATATTGCATATGCGGCTATAATTTTTATTTCTATCGAACCGCTTGAAGAATTTTTATAATGCTTTATATCATTCGTACCTTCAAAAGTAACTTTTTACACTTTTACTATTTTTCAAAAATAAAGATTAATATACAATTTTACCACACAAAAATCATCTTATATAGAAGAAAAAATCCTATTTTATAGAATAACAATTTACCCGAACAAAATTGATAATATAAATACTTCAAAATATAATCTTAATCAAAGTGGTGCTACTGGGGCTATTTTTATGGGGCTAGGTAGAACCTTTTTTTTTTGCTATTTTTTAAAAATTTGACATGCAAAAAAAGTCAAGGAGAGACCAACTAAAAGAAAAAAAAATCGAAAAATGTTATTATATGATAAATAATTGTTTGGCATACAAATAAATTATATCAAGCATAACAATCAAGACTTCTTTCAATGTCAGTTATTAGTTACATGGCTTTGCAATTTTATTGTTTTTTTATTTGCAAAGATTGTGAATGTTTTAAATGATTTTATATAACACTTTTATGTTTTAAATTATTAAATATATCCTAATAAAAAAATATATAACTTTTATATATGGAAAATTAAGCAGAGCTTATAATAGCCTCGACCAAGGGCTTGTTCATCCCCGGGTAGGGTTCACTCGGTTACCAAAAAAAATTCCAGGAAAAATGATATTTTGAAAAAATTATTAGAGATGTATTTTTGAAATTTAAACATATCATAAAACTAATAGAGCTGAACAAAATGAGATATTTTTTATTAAAAATGATAAAGTACTTATAATTTTCTTAAGGTTTGCCTTTAGGGTTCGCCATAACCCCGTTCTCCCCTACAAGTTTTCAATAAATTAAAAAGAAAAAACTTGATGTTTAATATTTAAAATGATTAGATGAAAAAGAGAAATCTATATTACTTAGAATCTTTTTTATATATTTTGAGTCAAAAAAAGAAAAGCCTTAGCCTTAATTTCAATAAAAAAATGTTTTTAGAGCCAATCCTCATTTTAACTTAATTTTCAGATTCAACTAAGTCAGTCGAAAAGTCGATAAATATAAAATTGTAACTTTCATGAAACTCCATTTGCGATATGATAATGCATTCGCTATAATGCATTCGCTATAATGCATTCGCTATAATGCATTCGCGATAATTCATTCGCTATAATGCATTTGCTAAAATGCATTCGCTATAATGCATTCGCTATAATGGATTCGCTATAATGGATTCGCTATAATGCATTCGCTATTATGTATTCGCGATAATTCATTCGCTATAATACATTCGCTATGATGCATTCGCGGTAATATATTCGCGATAATGGATTCGCGATAATTCATTCGCTGTAATGTATTAGCTATAATACATTCGCTACGCTATATTATATTCGCGATAATGCATTCGCTGTAATGCATTCGCTATAATATCTTTTCGCGGTAATCGACATTCGCGATAATACACATCGCGCTAAAATTTTCGCGGTATTGACATGTAACCAAATGTCGTAATGTTAATGTCGTAATGTTTAATTTCTTAATATTAGCCTTAACTTAACAGTAGTAATACTTAAATCATTTAAATCATCTGGATTTTATTCATATCATATATATATATATATAAGATTCCGCGATAGATATAATAATATATAACAAACATTTTTTTATTGAATGATCGAAGTTTACGTCAACTACAACAATAATAATAAACCGTTATTATGTAATATCAATTCTAGCAAGCCTTGGGTCTCATATACCCCACCGGAGTATTAAAGGATTAATTATAAATGATATATTTTATAATGAGTAGTATTATATAACACATTTAAATTTGGATTAAAATTTTATAAATGTTATATATAATAAAATAAACGTTAAATTTTTTTTTATATATATAACAAAACATAAATTTTATATAAACTATTGTAAAACAATTTATAAATAACAAAATATAATTTTATGTAAACTAAACAAATTTATAAAGTGCTTATTTGGAAAAATATTTCGATTGCTTTTGATTAAAAAAAACTATAAATACTATGTTAAAAAACTTTATATTTTATATATTTAACTTAATTCTTAGTGGCCATTTAGCCATTTCCTCTATGACCAATGACTTTATAATAATACTATCCAGAATAATTTCAATAGTAATATAATATCCTTCCACAAATATCAAACCCAGAAAAATATAAATAAAAAAATTGCTCTGGGGGGGGGTCCAAACCCGACCTCCCCCCCCCCGTACCTACGCCACTGCACCTGTGTAATTAAGGCAGTTTTTCTGCATATTTTGTAAAAGAAATATTATTTGGTCGATGATTATCAAACTTTTGTATCTTCAGCCAATTTAGCACCAGATTAATATTTGAAAAAATTTAGCTCAGAAAATAATAATACAAACATTTGAAACTAGGGAATTTTTATTTCTTGGGAAGAATGTTCAACTATGAATTTTTAAATCAATTAATTTTTTAAAATTAATATGGTCTTGAATTATTTAGAATAGTATTATACATTGTTCATTTTGATTAGATATTTCTATAATAAACCAATTACCATTTAAAAAAAGAATATAATATTCTACTAACAAGTAAATAATTCATTCATGAGGTAACGGCTGTAAATTAATGGCGGAAGGTGAAACGTTAAATATTGATAGTATTATTGCTAGACTATTAGAAGGTTTTTAATCAATATTCAGCGTTTTAATATATATGCATTATAGTAAGAGGCTCTAAACCAGGGACCACTGCTCAATTAACTGAAACAGAAATAAGAGGCTTGTGCTTGAAATCTAGGGAAATTTTTTTAAGTCAACCTATTTTGTTGGAATTGGAAGCACCTTTAAAAATATGTGGTAACCTTTTTTATCATTTAAGCGATGGATGATATTTTTGATTAAAATTTTATACTAAAAAAGGTGATATACATGGACAATATTATGATCTATTGCGCTTATTTGAATATGGCGGATTTCCACCAGAGAGCAATTATTTATTTTTGGGAGATTATGTAGACAGAGGAAAACAATCTTTGGAAACAATTTGCTTAATATTAGCTTATAAAATAAAATATCCAGAAAATTTTTTTCTACTTAGAGGAAACCATGAATGTGCTAGCATTAACAGAATTTATGGCTTCTATGATGAATGTAAGAATTTAATTTATTGTTCAATATATGCTGATTTATTAATCTTGATTTAATTTTTTGATCATAGGTAAGAGACGTTATAGTATTAAATTATGGAAAACATTCACAGATTGCTTTAATTGCTTACCAATCGTTGCTATAATTGATGAAAAAATATTTTGTTGTCATGGAGGTATATACTTTTATGTTTAATTATAGATTTAAATAAGTATTTAATTTATTAATATAATACATGAAGACCAAATAAATTATTTTTTTATGGATCTGTGTGGGGTAACATATCAAAATATGTTTATTAAATATAGTTTTTAATTTTGTGAATCTATAACCAAAACAAAAGTGGTATTGATACACTTTTGTGTTTTTCATTATGCTAGCAACACTGAGGAAATGGTGGTATTTTTTAAAATGTAGCTATCATATAAAAAAATTTTATATAAATTTTATTTTTTAAAACATGCAAAAATATGTAAGAGTTGAGTTTGAACAGACATCAATTTAAAAAAAAACTTTATTGTGCCCCTACCAAAAATTTTAAAAAAAGTAGGAGGCACTGTCCTTCTAAAAAATTTGATTATTTTTTGTAACAGTATTTTAGCATATTAATATTTTTTATCATGAAATAAACATAAATAATAGTATAAACAAAATGGAGATATATCAATATAATTGTATATTTTTAATTCAAAAACACCTTTTTTATTTTAAGTTCAAAATATATAAAGTTTTGATTAGCCATTGTATAAATAAAAAAAAGATTACAAATTATTTTTATAGCATGCATTAAAAATGGTTACACATTGATAAACAAACCAGAATAATAATGAGTACTGCGTAATATCTTGAAAAATCAAATCACATTTTGAATTTAATAGTTTACAAGAGCACAATAGTTTAGATATTTATTTTGCATTCTAGATATTCTGCCTTGTTGATTAATATAATAATCAGAGACTTTCTGGACTGGGCCGTATTTTTTAAAAAAAATTCCCAGGCCGGTTCTAATATTTTAAATTGTCATTATTTATAAAAAATAAATAAAATATATTTCAAAATTGTGTATCATGGAACATTATATAACATGCATTCGCTTATCTTATATCCTATTTCCCTTTTTTCGATTCTTATAAATATTACTAAAAGATTTTTCAAATTAATTACTCAATCAAATATAATATGCTTTCTTAAGGGAAAAATTTATTTTAGATAAGTACCATATTTCTTTTATGTCCTAAATCAGGCAATTGCATAAAGAGCACAAATGACTGATACTTATATAAAAGACTATATTAAATTACAAAAGGAAAAGGAAATAAGCAGAAAGTGCAGATACTCAAACGACAAATATTGAGATAAGATCTTGAAAAGTTATATATGGATTTCGTATTCGCTAAAAATGATCCGTAATATGCCGAATAGAGAGTACCTAGATCTGGGCATAAGATATTTTTTAGAGTGGGAACTAAGATAAGTAGGAAAAATCACAAATAAAATTTCTACTAGAGGCTCAAATAATATAAAATAGAGAAAAAATTCTGACATATAAGTCAATCGAGATTTTTTTATCTCATAATGTAATATTAATCAGAAACCTGCAGTGGTGCACTGCCCGGCACGGTTTTTTTAAATATGGCCCGGCTCCGGCTTTATATCAGAAACCTGCAGACCCTAAGCCCGGCCGGTGATTTTATTTTTTTTAAATATAGGATCGGGCCTGAAATTTTTTTGGCCTTGAAATCCTCATTATTAGCTATAAAAATAAATATAATATATTTTAAAAAAATTCTCTACTTTATCAAGATTGCCTCGGATTTTGTTTAATTATATTACATTTAATTTTTATAAATTATGGCGATTAAAATATTCGGTTTTGAAATATACGGCCAGGCTATTTTAAAAGATAACTTTTAGGCCTGGCCTGCCCGAGTATATCAAAAAAAATTAAAAGACGTTCAGACCAGTGTCGGTCGGGCCTACATGTGTGATTTATTAAATTAATAGTAGAACAGATATTTAAATCAATTTTATTCAGATTCTATAATTTATATGTTGCTATTTATTTCGGTATCTTTAAGAGTTTTAAATTATAAGTTCCTCCTGTATCTGTCAAAGGGTTGACGATAGTTATGTTATCATTTTTCGGAATAATAATGTCCGATATTGATGGATAATAAAAGGACTGAGAAGATCCTTTGACTTATCTTATCATCACTAATAATCGCTTAAGCATATATCACCTACCATTCATTATTATAAAAACTATTTACATACCCTTTAATATCATATGTTCATTTTTAATATTTTCTAGTGTAGTTTGGACAGCGCTGAAATATTTTTTCCTAATTAATTTGATAAACTATGAATTTTCTGATTTCTAGGGATGGACAAGCTTTTAAAAACCATTCCTATACAAGTTCTTGGTATTCTTCATGGGATATAGGAAAAATGAATATTTTTATATTTTCTTCAGCGAATTTGTAGATTTAGCAGAGACTTTATTTGATTTTCATAACGTCGTTGTAAACTAGCCCATGCAGCAGTTCTCATGATTTCATCACAGACATTTTTCTCATGGGCAATAGCAAAGAAATGCCATTTTGCTGGAATAAATTTATGAAACTTTTTTTACGTTTATATTGAATCACAGACCTATCAAAAGAATTAAAATAAATATATTTAAGCTCAGATAAAATATATTTTAGAAAATTTAGTAATTTTTATAGACACTTATTATGTGCCAGTGACTAGTATGAACGCTATCTAACAACCTTTCTATATGATTTATAAATCAATCATTTTATATTATTTCCATATAAGATAAGAGGTAAAAATTTAAATCCCAAAATTATATCGGAATCAGATCCCTGATAGGCAAATATTAAATTGGTGTTTATATTAGTATAAAAGATTTTCATATGGACCAAGGCCTGATGTAGGTGGAGCTTAGGATATCAAAAAGTTCAACCCCTCAGATCTTTTTAGACGTTCTGGGTTTTAGTGGTTTCATTCTGTAAATATGTTTAGTAGAGACCTACACGAGACAAAAAAATTTATTCCCTCGCCCCAACTCAAACATAAAATTAGTATCATAACATGAAATTGATAATATAAAATTTACCTATCCCAACGCATCCCGATATAAAAATAAATCACAATTTCCCAACTAACCGACACCTGGATTGAGTTGGGTTTTGCTCACTATTTTCGATTCCTGAAAATATGTTATTACTATGGAATTTTTTATCAATAAAAAATGTTTTTATTTTTTGAGATATTTTTTAACTTTTAGCTTGTAAATAAAAATTGATAAAAAATTCTATATTAAGTGCATATTTATTAAATAATATATTTATAATAATTTGCTAGAAAATATAACTTCCATAGAATATGCATTAAATTGTTATTCGACTAACTTTTAGGGGATTGAATAACTGGTTTAAATTTTGGATAAAAATAGAATAACTGGAACCTGGTTTTATAGAACCGTTCTTTAAATCGAGTAGGTTCCAAGATCTTCCCATTTTCTTATAATAACTAAAAAAATTATAGAAGTAAAATTTAATAAATAGTGTACATTATATAATATATTTTTGAGAAAAAATCCCCCTACTGTTTTTCTAAATATTATTAAAAATAAGTCCTTATTTTAGTAATTGTAAAAAATTTAGAAAACTATTGTTTATATCATCAAAGAAACAAGGGATTATTTTTAACCACTGATGATGGTACCCTATCATAAATTTGCAATGATATTCTTTTTCTCTTCTCTTCTATTCTTTTAAAATAAATTAAAACAAAAAAATTTATAAAGTTATCTTTACAATTTCTTCAAAATGTAATAAATATAATCAATCAAATCAGTTTCGAAATTAATACATAAAATAAATCATTTTATCAAATAAAATATATATAAAAAATGTCAACTACAACACCTATAATAACTTATTAAATGATTTCTACATCATTCATCTTGAATATTTATATAGTGAGGCGAGATCAATTCAAAATAAATTTTCATAATTATAATTTATTTTTATATATATATTATATATTATATTGTACTAGTGTAAATATTGAAAATTTCAATATATCTTGATTATATATTTTTTTTTAAAGTATAAATTACCATTTAAAAGGAAAATATTTATTTTAAAATTAAAGGCCTAAGCCCTGATCTGAACAGCATGGAGCAAATAAGACGTATCATGCGCCCTACTGATGTTCCTGACCAAGGTCTCCTTTGTGATTTGCTATGGTCTGACCCCGATAAAGATACAATGGGCTGGGGCGAAAATGATAGGGGTGTTAGTTACACATTCGGAGCCGAGATTGTCGATAAATTTCTGCATAAGCATGACTTGGACTTGATCTGTAGGGCTCATCAGGTTTTCAACTGATTTATTTAATATCATGGTTTAAAGTAAATGAAATTATATAAGCTTTAAATTAATAATCGCAGTAAGGCCTTATTTATATTAAGCGCGTTTTGTTCTAGTGGTGCGATATTTAAGCTGGTGTTATTTACAAAATCAACCTAATAAATAGGCTAGAACGAAGCTATGAAAAACGTTACAGCTGTTAACATAAATATATCAAAGTATTATGGTTGTGATTTCGATAGCCTTAAATACCACTAAATGCGTTTATTATAAATTCAGATAAACCTTTATTTTTTATAGATATAAATTGTTTAAAGGCAACCAAAATTTTTTAAAAGAAGTTAATACAAAGTAACCTCTAGAGGTTTGCATTGGGCGGGGTTTCGGCCCGACCGCCGGGTTAAGAAAGTTCAACAATAGGCGGGCGGGCAAAAAAAAATTTAAATTATAGTAAATATTAGGGCTGTGCCGATATTAAATATCGGATTGGTACCGATATTTAGCGTTTTCCGAAAATATCGGATCTGGCCGATACTTGTAAAAAAACAAATCCGATCCGATCTTTTTTCTTTTCCTTTTTTTGTTATTTTATTTTATGTTGTGTATATTTATTTTACATTATAATATTTTCTAAATAAATTTTTTAAAAAAAATAGATTTATAGTATTTTACAAGTTTTTTTTTTATAAAAATAGAAAGGAACAAAGTTTTATTTATTTTAAATCTTTTTAAATAACGCCAATTTTTTTATTTATATTTTAAATAAAAGAATTTTTTTAAATATGGTATCTGAATTATGGAAATATTTTACAAAAGACAAAGATAATTTTGCAAAATGCGTTATCTGTGGAATCATCTGAGTCTGTCTTCAGTACGGCAGGAGATATAGATAGTCCATATCGTAGAAGCTTATAGAAAATCTAGAGGCTCTCATATTTATTAAAAAAATTTAATATATTATGATTTTATATGTTAAATATTACAATTTTATAATTCCAACATAAAATGGATATATTATTAAATATATATTTTTTTATTATAGTCTTAATTGTAGAAATAAAAAAATTAAATTATTCATAATTCGATTTTTTTGCATAAAAAATATTGATTTATTACATTTGGTTCAAACGGGGGTGATTAAAAATCAGTAAAAATATCAGATCGGTATCGTATCGGGTTTGAAGCTATATCGGATCGGAGCGGTGAAAAATATGTGGATCGGCACAGCCCTAGTAAATATTAATAAAAAATTGTTCCTATGAACTTTTTTGGATATTAATTTTAAAATGTCCTTTTTTGTATATTTAAAACTACCTTGGTGGAGAAAATATTGGTAATTCCTGCAACTAGTGCTTCTTCTGAATGAAGATTTAGCATTGCCTGAAGGTTTTTAGAACAAAGAAGAACATGTATGAATCCAGATGTCGATTCATTATTATTTTCATTATTAATTACATATATTTGATCAAATAAATTATCCTTAATATAAATTGAATATTTTTATGCTTAATATAGTATAAAAACTTTTTGTAGAGGTGTAAATCTGATTTTTTTTTAGCCATAATTAAATTTTATAATAGCAGGCTTGGGTTAAAAATTTTTTATAAATGGGTGGGCTGGTAAAAATTTTTAGACTAATGGGCTGGCAGGTGGGTATATTTATTTTTGAAAACTATGGAAGGGCTGGGCGGACGGGTTAAATTTTTTAGACATTGGGTGGGCGGGCTTATGGTCCAAAAACCCAACCATTACAGACCTATACTCTTTATTTTGTTGATACTACTTATTTTATTTATAATAGGGAAGTTTTTTATCAATCATTGTATGAATATTGATTTGTAGGTAAGTGTATAAGTGTCAATAGGGCTTTTTATTTGCCTTTGAATATCTCAGAAATATAAAAGCTAAGGCAAATGCTTCGCCCAGATATAACATGAGTCTTAGTTTGTGTCCCCTTTTTAGCATTTAATTTTTTTTGTTGGATTTTATCTGGTTGTTTATTATCAAAATTCTTATAAATTTTCACTATTTAATATAATGTTAATGTTATTTTATATTTTAAGGAGTGTTTATTTTTAATATTTATTTTTTTAAAAAAATACTCATCCATTATGCAAGGTCGTGGAAGATGGTTACGAGTTTTTTGCCAAAAGACAATTAGTGACCCTTTTTTCGGCCCCAAATTATTGCGGAGAGTTTGACAATGCTGGAGCTATGATGACCGTAGATGAAACTTTGTTATGTTCTTTTCAGGTTTTTTTTAAAACCCCCAGTTTTTAAGATAAAAGAATGATATATAAATTAAATGTGTGAGTTTTAGAAATTTATATGCAGCAATTGTAAATCTCTGTTTAATAACGCTTTCAATTTCAGTTCTCTAGTATTGCATGTTGAAACGTCAAAATGCATATTAGTAAACTATTTTTGGGCTTTTGTTTTGTTATATTTATTTACTCTCCATTGAACACTATCTCAAAAAAATATAGTAAATGATCAAATTCAAAATTTATATTTTTCTAGTTTTTATGCTAAACTATGAATAATTTTTTCAAAATACATAAATCTTTTAGGGGTGTACCTCATTGGCGTACGCAGCGGGGGGGGCAGGGGAACAAATCCCCCCCCCCCCTCCCCGAAAAATGCAGATGCCGGATATATTTTTCAAAAATATTATTGTTTATATTTGTTAATATTTATTCGTAACTCATATTAAATATATATTTAATTACATTTATTATCACATTTATCTACTAAGTTATTTTATCAGTTAATTTCGATTTCAAGTTTTCCTGCGTAATATTTATCTACCATTTTCAAATTTCTATTCAAATAATTATTATTTCTGAAACTTCTTGTCCAACAGGGAAAAAGAAATTGCAACCTTGTCCAACAAGATAGAGTCTCTACCATCAAGCAGTAACAGCTTTTAAGGAGTTAGAAGAGCCAATTATTTGCTATTACTGAAATATCACAATGGCCTGAAAGAAATATTTCCTCAGAAGCAAGAAAATTATTGGATTCAATGCTTATTCCAAATTTTATTTTTCATTAGAATGTATTATTTAATTATACAACTATTTTAAGTATTACCTTTCAAAAACATGACATTGACTTGATTAAGAAGATGAGAATAGCGGAGAGCATTTTATCAGAACTCAAGGAAATTAAGGCTAATGTTGATGAAGAATTTCATATTTTATTGTTGAGTCAAAAGCAGAGCTATACGTGTTTAATATTTGTCTCACTCGACTTGTAGCAAGGCAAGCTCATCGTTAAAACATTAATATAGGATAAGTAGAAGAGTATATCTTAAATACAGATACATTTATAACCCAAATAAATGAATTATTAATTCATCATGCAGCACTTACTAATCTGCAAATATTACTTCCACAAAAGCCTTCCCAACCTTTTTTAGATGGTGATAGAAAAAAAAATATTTGTTAGATTTTTATTATGAAGATGTTAAAGTATCTTATGATGCCTTACTAGCTGAATAACTATGTTTATAAGATTAACAATGGTTGATATAGTCCCAAAAAATGCTATGGATGCTCTGCATTATTTCAAACACATTTTAGATTAAATTCCCAATGTATTAAATGGGTTTATAAACTCTTTGCATTAGTAAACTAATGAGAGAACATTCTCTTTTTTAAGAAGAATAACAGAGGCCTGCAGAAGTACCATTTGCAGGGCACAGCTCGGATTTTTTTTAAAGATTTTTTACGGCCCGGCCTAGGTTTTTTTTGTTTAATTTTCAGGCCTGGCCCAGCTTTTTTTAATAATTTTTTAGGCCCGACTCGGCTTTTTTTACAAATTTTCAGGCCCGACCCGGCTTTTTTTAAAATAAAAATTTTAGGCCCGGCTTGGGTGTTTTTTTTAAAAAATTCGGGCCCGGCCCGGGTATATTTAAAAAAATTAAAATACTGTCCAGCCCGGGGGCCGGGCCTGCAGGTCTCTGAAAAACATACCAAGAAGTACAACATCTGAAAGTAGATTGAAAGGTTTGGATCTTTTGAATATTCATAGGCATTTGACGACAAGCAAGGATGAGATAATTGAAAAATTAGCTCAATCACAACGAAGATTAGATTTTACATTGTAAATATATAACATATAAAATGCAATTATTCCTAAGAAACTTTTTGTGTAAAGGCTCAAAAAATTAAAATTTCTATGTCATTTAAGTGATTCTTTACATATAATTTTTTTATAATTCACATAAATTTAAAATTGTGTATTAGAAATAGTTATTAGTCCTAATAAATTTATGCTTGATATTTTTAAAAAACAATAATACTTAAAAAAATTATTATCCCCCCACCCCCAGACCAAATTCTTGCGTACGCGCCTGTTGTACCTATACCACTTTTTGGAGACCTATCCTATACACTCATTATTAAATTGAATACCGATCCAATATCATATCTGATTTTGTATTCTGAGATATAATAAGTAGCGTAAACAAGCTATTGATGCACATATACATGTACATTTTATAGGTTAATATACGACAAAATACTTGTAAATTTTTTGTAAACGATTTATATTTAACAAAATTTGGGCAGCACTTCTGTGTAATAAGTTAAAATAACACGAATTTGACAAATTTTTGTAACTATTTTTTGATAAAATTTGGGCAGCACTTCCGTATAACTGGCTTATATAATAAAAATCTGGGTGAATTTCTTCTATTAGGTTTATATATGCAAAAATTTGGGCAGCATTTCCGTGTAACTGGCTTATTTAATAAATATTTGGGTGATTTTCGTCTAATAGGTTTATATATGCAAAAATTTGGGCAGCACTTTCTTGTAACTGGTTTATTTAATAAATATTTGGGTGATTTTCGTCTAATAGGTTTATATTTGCAAAAATCTGGGCAGCATTTCCGTGTAACTGGCTTATTTAATAAAAATTTGGGTGATTTTTAATAGGTTTATATATGCAAAAATTTGATCAGCACTTCCTTGTACTAAGGGTTTTGTAGAGGAAAAAATTGGGTAGCACTTCCATGTACCTGGAACCTATTAGTATAAATAAATTCCTCAAATTTGCTCTGATGCAAACCTGCCCTTATGGCCTTTCTATTAATCCTCCTATTTGCGCTTATTCAAACCTGCCCTAAAGGCTATTATATTAATCATTGAAATTTTCTATGATGCAAACCTGCCCTTATGGCCTTTATATTAATCCTCCTATTTGCGATGCAACCCTGGAATTTGCTCTGATGCAACCTACCCTTATTGCCTTTATATTTCCTATTTGGGCTCATGCAAACCTGCCCTTAAGGCTATTATATTAATCACTGGAATTTGCTCTGATGCAAACCTGCCCTTATGGCCTTTATATTTCCTATTTGCGCTTATGCAAACCTGCCCTTAAGGCTATTATATTAATCACTGGAATTTGCTCTGATGCAAATCTGCCATTTTATAGCTTTTATATTAATTCCTGTACCACAAACTTTATTCCAAAACGAGAATAGTAAGTCTTGGCCACCACTTTAATGTTTTAATCAAGGAAAGTTTTATTTTTAAATTAAATTTTTATTTCCAAATATTAATTATATATATATTTAATTGTTAAATTTTAATCAAATATTGTTTTTTACCTTAATGAGGGGTTCAAAAAATCAATTCCTTTCTAGTTTTCTTTCAACTTTTTATTTTTCCCAAAATATCTTGCCCAGAAAAATAATCAAAAAAAAAATAAAGCAAATCTGGAAAAACGATAACTGTTTTTATTTCATTTTTTTTTCTATATATATATATCTACTATGAAATAAATATAAATTGATTAATAATCCTATTAATCTAAAAATAGCAATTTTTATAATATATTAAACGAATGAATGCGCAAAAAATATTAATCACAAATAAAATGCTTATCATACAAAATGACTCCACACTATACCTAAAAAACGATACACATAACAATTACGTTTATATATACATGTTAAATTAAACTAATGTAATGAAAACACTAATCATTCATCACCAAATTCAGGACGTACAATCTATAGCAGTATATTATATCAATATGTTTTTAATATTAATAAGTTATATATATATTATTTGTATATTTTTAAATATAATCATTTTAAAGCATGTATTATATAAATTTTTTAATTTTTTGACCAAATACATAAAAAGTTTTATTTTGCTAGTACTTCTGCTCATTTACTATTAAATTTTATAATTAATTCACTATTAAAATTGCATATTGTATAATTTGTGATTTTGGCACTTTTAGGCGAAATGACTCTTTGCTAATATTTTTGCCCATTTACTAGTAAATTTTATAATTTGCTCTTGGGCGATTTAGGCCAAATCACTATAAAAAAGCGCCACGATACACCAATTTAAGTATTTATTTATGGTTTGTTATTTATTTTGACTAAAATGATTCCACTATTAAGTCCATATGGCTATAAGCAAAGTAGACCCCAAACCGAATTTTTAACACATATTGACCTTGAAAAAAATTCCACTATAATTTAAACTTGAATAAAAAAACTAACTCAAAACACAAACACCTTATTTGGAAGAGCACTAAAAGGATCAATATATGGATTTTGATTTTTATTATCTTAGGGCAGTTTGTAATTTTACAATTATTCTATAAATTATGTTATTAATATTACGTTGATTATGATTATATATATCTACAATTTTTAAATATTATAATAAATAGATACTTAAACCATCAGATAAAAAGAAATTTGCTCATGGATTTGTTGGCATGAATATAGCCAGCAAAACAAACGCCCCTGCGAAATCAACTAAAAAATGACATATTTTTTATAATTATCAAATCAATTGTGCCACACAAACAAAACAATTTTATCATAAGATTAAGATTGATATTTCTGATTTTTTACATGAAATCTTGATAATACATGATATAATATATTGATTATACTGTATATAAATATTTACATTTAGTAAATTTATGTTTTTCAAAAATAATTTTCCATATTCTGAATTTTTTAAACTCGTTCGTTATACGCGAAATATATTAAGTAATGATAAAAAACCAATCTACAACAAATGGCATTTTAAAATTATTTTTTATTTACATTTTCAACAAACTTGCACTTATTTATATTTAGAGACTTATTTAATAAAATATATATTTTTTTAAAGTTTTGCTTGTTAAATCCCTTAGAAGGGGAGAGTGTTTAGGGGTACTAAGAGATCTTTGGAATCCAACTTGAAAACCAGGTGGGATTATTGTAATTTATTTTGGTTGGGCAGAGTTAGGAAATTTTTTCAGGGCGGTCTGGTTTGGCAATATTATTATTATAATTGTGAATTTAATTAATGATATTAATAAATTTAGATTATTTATTAGAACCTAATATTTTTCATCATATTGGATAGGAATATAAAATTAATTCTATATTTGGATCCATGTAAATGCTCTTTTCTTGCAGGGCTATAGTCTACACTATTAAAAGTACACATCTTTTTAAATAAAAGTATAATATACTTAAAAAAATTAACGTGTTATAAAAAAATATAAACAATTAGAGATCTGCAAATGGCAAAATTTTAAAACTCGGCCCATCCTGGCGGGAATTTAGTCTTTGCATGGCTCTGCCAAATTCTTGCCTGGTATTTCAATTTTTTTATTAATGTTGCCTGACCCAGTTTTTAGTTTTTTTAAAAAATTCATGATCCAAACCAAAATATAGTGTTTGCAACGGTCCGGTCCTTTTTTCTAACTACATATAAATTTGTCTAAATTATAAGAAAAGACTGAATAAGTCAGGTGAGACCAGACCGTCGATCCAGTCACATCTAAAAATTGTTTTTTTTTGTTAAGCTATAAAAGTTTTATTTTGCATTAAATTTTATTAAAAATGAAATGTGTTTAATTAGCAATATTTTAATTATATCATCAAATCATTTTTTTGCTGCCTAATATTTCAAAATAATATTAAATCAATTTCATATTTAATTAGTTTTTGGATATATATAATGTGATAAAATTATTCCTTTTTTATCTATAATTCACCTGTCATTAGAGATTGAACCATCTTTGGATTCATTCTATTTTTTTAATTTATCACTAGCTTTAGAAAAGATGCTACTGATGTAGCCTTCTGTGAGAGATTGTTAATTTCTATTTTGACCAGAATTGGAAATTGATATTGATTCCCTTCCCACCATATTTCTAAATCAATAGTTATTCTTTTACCCCCATAGAGAGTGATTTATAATATTATCATTTTCTATGATTCCCATTTCTAGAAATATAAATGCCTATTATATTCAATCACTTGACGAATGAATGAAACGGAAGAAATAAAAGTAAACGATAAATGAGATATTATATATAGTGTCAGGCATTCTCTCCCAAAATCCTACCTTCAGCCTTATCGTGGCGGGGGAGTGGCAACGTCTTTTGGCGGCAAATGGAGGTCTAAAAGACTCCCTGTGATCTGGGTCTAGAATAGGATCACCGTCTCCTCGACGGGGTGTAAAAACCACTTAAAGAGGTTGATGTCAGGAAGGGCATCCGATTGTAAAAACCTTGCTACAAAATTTCCCTATGGTTACAACAAAGCATGGGCGGGGTACAGCCCAAAGTACCCCGTGGGCCTCCTCATCCGCCTACGACAAAGAAGGATGGGAAACCTGGTGATTCATGAAAATAAAACTTATGACGGCCATAAACGACCTGATAAAAAGTGGAGAAACCAGTTTACGGGTGATCGAGTTAGGGTCGTGACATGGAATGTTGGGAGTATGACGGGAAGAGCGGGAGAAGTCGTCGATGTATTGCACAGAAGACATATAGATGTGTGCTGCATACAGGAGACTAGATGGAAAGGAAATGGGACCAGAATGATTAACAAGACTAGCGAAAAGTATAAATTCTTTTGGCAAGGAGGTAATGATGGTAAGGCTGGAGTTGGGGTATTGGTTGCGGAGAAATTGGTAGACAAAGTAGTCGAAGTGAGAAGGCTAGACAACCAGATAATGGTTATTAAGATGATTTTTGGTAGAAAGCTATATAATATTATCTCGGCATATGTTCCTCAGATTGGAAGAAGAGAAAGATATATTTTGGGACAGTCTATTGGGGGGTGACATCGAGACTGGCAAATGAAGAGGGGATTATCCTGGCTGGTGATCTGAATGGACATGTGGGAGTGAGTAGTGAGGGTTATGAAGGAGTACATGGAGGGTTCAGTTACGGCATGAGAAATTTGGAAGGAGAGAGGATTTTAGAATTTAGTGATGCGATGGATATGATTGTCTGTAATACAATGTTTAAGAAAGAATCAGAGAAGCTGGTGACTTATAAGTCGGGTAGTACCAAAAGTGCTGTGGATTACTTGTTATTAAGGAGATGTGATCGATGTATACTAAAAAATGTGAAAGTGATACCGGGAGAGGAATGTATAAATCAGCATCGACTAGTTGTAGGAGATCTCACTCTTAAAGGTGCCAGGGTCACTAAAAGAAAGTTTGTCCCAAGGCTGAAGGTTTAAAAATTGAAGGAGGAGAATGCTAGACGTCAATTCAATATGGCATTGGCGATTAGGGAGGCGGAGGTGGCACAAGCATCTGGGGTGAATGACAAGTGGGTAGCCATGAAGAAAGCCTGGGTAATGACAACTGAGGAGGTATGTGGATGGACAAAAGGGCCGCCTAGACATAAGGAGACTTGGTGGTGGAGCCCGGAGGTAGCGAAAGCCGTGGATGAGAAACGGAGGTGTTTCAAAGTATGGTATAATAGCAAAGAAAATAGTGATAATGATATTTACAAGATGACTAAAAGAAATGCTAAGAAATTAATAGCGAAGGCTCAAGAAGAAAAAAGACACTAGTTTGCTAAAGAAATGGAATGCGCTGATGGAATTGGAAATATGGTTCGAATGGCAAAACAGATGTCAAAAAAGAGGCAGGATGTGATAGGTGTAAAGTGTTTGAAAAATATGGAAGGAAAAATGACGATTGATAGTAGTGGTATTAAGAACACCTGGAAGATTTACATGAAAGGACTTTTGAATGAAGAAAATGAATGGAATAATAATATTAGTTGTGCAAAGGTAGAAGGTCCAGGGTGTAAATTTGGCAAGGACGAGATAAAGAGAGCAGTGAAAAAAATGAAGAAAGGGAAGGCATAGAGTTTAACGATGGTGGTATCAGAGATGTTTAAAGGTTCTGATGATTTAGGGATTGAATGGTTAATGAATTTAGCAAATCAGATTGTCACAGAAGGTACTATTCCTGAGGACTGGCGAAGAAGTATAATTATCCTTGAATACAAGGGGAAAGGTGATCCTTTAGATTGCGGGTATTACAGAGCTATTAAACTCTTGGAACATGCAATGAAAGTATTTGAGAGAGTGTTAGAGAAGCGGTTAAGGGAACAAATTAAAATTGATGAAATGCAGTTTGGTTTTACATCGGGAAAAGGCACGACAGATGCAATTTTTGTGGTGAGACAAATTCAGGAGAAGTATCTTGCGAAGGAAAAGAAACTCTATTATGCGTTTGTTGATTTGGAGAAAGCATTTGATAGGGTGCCGCGTGAGATTACATGATGGGCCTTGAGAAAATCCGGTGTGGAGGAATGGTTGGTTACCGCAGTGATGGCAATGTATGTTGGAGCACAAACAGCAGTACGGACGGATTATGGTGATAGTGAGAGCTTTGAGGTGAAGGTAGGACTTCATCAAGGATCCGTGCTGAGTCCATTATTATTTATCTTAGTAATGGATGTGGTGGCTAGAGAAATCCGTGAAGGACTTCCCTGGGAGATATTATATGCAGATGACCTTGTAATAATGGCAAACAGTGAGGGAGAATTGAGGGATAAAGTTAGTAAATGGAAGATGACTATGGAAGCAAAGGGCCTGAAAATGAATGCATCAAAAACAAAGGTGATGATTGGTGGGGAAAATCTAAAGATGGAAGAATCCGGTAAGTGGCCTTGTGGTGTATGTGGGAAAGGAGTTGCTAGAAATTCTATCCAATTAACCAGATGCCAGAAATGGGTACATAAAAGATGTAGCGGGAAAAAAGGCAGTTTGATGTTAGAAAGAATGACCTTTATTTGTTAAACATGCATGAAAGGGATACATAATAATGATAACCTAAAAATTGGTGGTCTGGATATTGGCAATGGGTTAACCCTAGAAAAAGTGGATAAGTTTTGTTATTTAGGTGATATGCTAAACGCTGATGGTGGTGTAGATTCTGCCGTTGTTGCAAGGATCAGACAAGCTTGGAAGAAGTTCAGAGAGATGTCGTCTATTCTTACAAATAAAAAAGTTTCTCTGAAGTTAAAGGGGAAAGTTTACGTAAGCTGTGTAAGGAGTTGTTTAGTTTATGGTGGTGAAACATGGGCAATGAAAGCAACTCACGAAGCCAAATTAGAAAGAACAGAGATGAGGATGGTTAGATGGATGTGTGGGGTATCTCTGAGAGAGAGAAAAACTAGCAAGGAATTGCGAGCAAGATTAGGTATAGAAATGATTGGTATGGTAATGCGACGAAATAGACTAAGATGGTTTGGCCATGTGGAACGTATGACAAGAGATGACTGGGTAAAGAGATGCACAATGATGGAAGTAGGAGGATCAAGACCTAGAGGAAGACCCAAGATGACTTGGACAAATGTGATAGCGGCGGATATGAGAAGCATGAATCTTACAAGTATTGATGCTCAGGACCGTCAAAAATGGAAAAGAAAAATCAGAGGGAAAACTGGCCTACCCAGGTAAACCTGGAAATCGCCATAAAACGGAGAAGAAGATATAGTGTCAGGCATTAAATCATCATGTTTTACGTGTTCATATACATTAATTAAAAAGCAATTCATAGTCTTATATTTTTTAATCGGTCGGACCGAACCGGACCATCATCAGATTGTTGGACTGGACCGTCGCGCCGACTCAATAGTCAGATGAAATCAGACCGCATGACTGCAAACACTACCGAAATATATGTTGAACAGAAAAAAACTATTTATAATATTGGAAAGTGATCAAATTAAAAACATATTTATGGATTATCACATTTAAAATATCAGAATTCATCAAGTATATATACAAAAAAAATGTCAGCCTGTCCCAGATAATTTTTTTGATGTTACCTTGCTCGTGGGCCAGGCTAAGCATACTTCTATAAACAATTATAATTGAAAAATATATTTATACTATTCTGTCAAAAATTAATCTGCTTCAAGTTTGCAATTAGGAATGTGAGGAGGGACTTCCTTTCAATTATACCATATAAACTAGAGCTCATCTTTGATAAAATTTAGTTTTTTCTAATACTATTATCAAGTTTAACTTTAAATATAAAATCTTTTAATAGCATATATCTCAATACAGACAAAGTAATAGGCATTTACCATTAACAACATTCCATTAAACACCTACATTTAAAGAGAAAATAAATCAGCCTCAATTGCACTTAAAAGAATCTGTTAATGATAAAATCATTCGTGCTTGTAAATGGGTAAAATAATGCCAAATTTATACCAGCTTAGAACTTTTATTCACCAATTAAGAGCTAAATATTTCTATCGACCTTCGATTAAAATTATTCTCAACTATCCAAAACGATTGGACAAAAATCAAGCTTGATCAGAAATCAGTGTATCGAAATATGTACCCAAGTTTCAACCTCGTCCTCATAGTTTTACTGAACTCAAACACATTTTAAGAAATTCAGCGTTCAGGAATTTTTAAAAATATCATACATGAAAAATTTTTTGCGGAAATTTATATTTTTGCATTATACCTCACAGTCACTCAGTGATACGATGCATGCCAGTTATTTAGGTGTTGTGTATCTAAATTTTACTTACTCTAGTAAAAAATATTCTAATTCAAAATTTCCAGGCTTACACGTAAGTATTAATGAAACTATTGGAACAAAAAAAAAGGTTCCTAAAAGTTAAAAAAAATTGATTTATTTGTAATTTTTTAATAGTTTAAATTAATTTTTTATTTAAAACTTCTATTTATTATAAAAAATATTTAAAATATATGATTTTTAAATGTCCGGCCTGGATATTTAAAAAAAAACTTTTTAGGGCCCCGCCCGGCCTGAGTATATTTAAAAAAATTAAAATACTGCTCTGCCCCTATAACCGGGCGGGCTTAGGGCCTGGCCTGCAAGTAGTGTTGTTAATCAACTGAGTCGAGTCGACTTAGTCGAAAACTGAACCAAGTTTTGGGTCTAAAAAATTGAGTCGACTAGAGGACGAATATTCAGATTTTTTATAATTTTATTAAAATATTTGTTCTGTTTTTTACATTTTTTTACTTTAGACTTCTAACTTGAGTCGTGAATAAGAATTATATAATTGAGTCGACTAGGGGACCAATATTTCTATGAACTTGAGGTCAATAGTGATGTGAATCGATTAACATACAACTAACTAATAATTTTAGTAGAAAAATTCGACTAAAAACTTTAGCAACTAAATTAGTCTTAGTCGACTAAAGTGACTAATTTAGTCAGCTTAGTCGACTAATCAAATTTTTGAGCCGAACCTAACCTTCATCACTGTATAGTTGGAGTTAGTGTTGTTAATTAGTCTAATTCTTCCCACTACTTGAGATATCAATGAAGATAAACTAAAGTATAGTGACATTTATCATTATCGTTTTTTTAATCTTTTTTTAATTTTTTTTAAAGAAATAGGTAAAAATATATATTGTAAACATGTTAAATTAAAATTTCAGTGAAGATGTACAACCATAGAAAAGTGACAAATTGTCATAATCGTTATTTTTTTATTTTTTTTAAAGTAAATAGGTAGATATATATTGTAAAGATGTTAAAATAAAACTTCAGTGAAAATGTACCATAGGAAAGTGACAATTATCATAATCGTTGTTTTTGAGCTTTTTAGACTTTTTTTAAAGCAAATAGGTAAAAATGTTATATTGTAAATATGTTAAATTAAAATTTCACTGAAGATGTACCATAGAAAAGTGCTTATTGTCATAATTGCTATTTTTTTTTAACTTTTTTGTATTTTTTTAAAGTAAATAGGTAAAAATTTATATTGTAAAGATGTTAAAATAATTTTTCAGTGAAGATGTACCACCATTAGTGTTGTTAAAAAGTCGAGTTCTTACGACTTGCGACTCGAGTCGTAGTCGTAAGAAACGGCTCCGACTCAAGCCGATCAAGGAGCCGAATGAGCCGACTCACTTAGTCGGCGCGTGTATTTGACTCGTTGGGTCTGCTCAATTTTTTTGTTTTTTTATAAAATCTGGTAAATTGCTAAACTTTGGGAAAATGATTAATGTGAACAAAACTATAATAAGAATATGTTGTTTTTAAAGTTTTTCGAATTTTTTTGGCATAAATGGGCTAAAATAAGTATTGCTAACATGTTTATAAAATTTTAGTGAAGATGTACCCTAGATAAGTGACAATTGTCATAATCGTTGTTTTTAAAGTTTTTCGAATTTTTTTGAAGTAAATGGGCTAAAATAAGCATTGCTAACATGTTTAAATA